ATGAGAAGGACATCAAACTATCAGAGTGTGTCCAGAGGAGGGTGACCAAGATGGTGAAAGGCCTTGAGGGCAAGACTTCTGCTGAAGCAGCTGAGGTCACTTGTCTTGTGCCAGAGTTATAGCTGACCAGCAGTAGGACACAAGAAAATGGAATAAAGGTGCATCAGGGGAAGTTCAGATTGGACATTAAGAAAAAGCTCTTCACCGAGAGAGTGGTTGGTCCCTGTTACTTCTTTAGGTGTGTACAAAAGGGCTCAGAAATGATAAAGCCACAATTTTCTCTAAACTGGATCAATTTGTAACTTCCTGTTGTGGCTTGTTGGAGGTGTTTCTCATTATTGCAAATGGAAAGATCCCTAATCAATGATGGTTGTTGTAAAAAGGTTACTCCTATATGGGTTTTAGGATTGTTGGAGGTGGCGGTTAGTCAATAGCCTGAAGTATGAAAGAATAACAGGTAATTGTGAGATGTCAGAAACAGCTACTGGTATGTACAAGCAATGGCTTGGTGCACAATGCACGCGGGATGGAGTTCTCATTGCGACTTTCACGTTGGTTTGAATTGGTTGTCTTCTTCTTTCATCAAGTGCTTTCAGCTGTTGAAGTGAAATATTTTCCCATGTCTGCCTTTTTTCCATGGTACAGTCTTTGTTTGGACAGTATTTGATAAGGATCTGTAGTTGTTGATGATATCCTACTGATTGTCAAGTAAAGAGTATGTACTTCAGTTTAAACTCCATGTATTGGGAAGATAATTTTGCCTTTTGCATGATGCGTCCAGTCACTATCAGTATGTTGAATTTATGACAGAAGTTTAAAACAGATACTGATAATCAGTATCTTTCTGTAAAGGTAGAATCAAAGAAAATTCGCTGTGGAGGATTGCCAGCATTGTCTATCTGTTGCAGAATACTGTGTAATTTTTTTAAACCTTCAGTAACTCAAGAGCTTTACTTCATTAATGGATGTAAACAGGAAAATTGCCAGTTGGTATGGAATGGAAGAAACAAGAACTGAAGGACTAGCATTAAACGGTGGCTAGGGCACATTTTTATTCAGTGTTTTATCTTCTTTGCATTATTTGAGCTTTCTTTTTACTTTTTGTCAAAATGTGGTAACATCAATTCAGCACTTTTTTTCAGGTTTATGTTGTCTCTCTGCTCATAATTATTCGTATTAAAGCAAAGTGTGAAGAAATATACGAGGACTGGTGCAGACTGTGTGTGGATTGATATTGACAGATTTTGCTATGTTAGAAAGCGAGAAAACATAGACTTGTCTAAATCCCCTTTAGGACTAGCATTTGCTAAGTGCTAGATGAAATCCCACGTGAAGGTTTTGCATTCACTTCGGTACAGCCTTTCAGTGAGGTGAAACAAGACAGTTTGAGGCATAACAGATCAGGTAATGATTACTTCATCAGCTGATATGACCTCACAGAAATTTAAACTGCACCTTGCCTAAGGCCTGATTTTTGCAAAGAACATCATCTAGTTCTTCATTTCAGGCATATTTGAATCCATTCTAGTTGAGCAAAATACATGTCGTCTTCTTTCCTACCTTCTGTTAAATAGCTGCCTGACTGTAACAGGGAAGGAAGAGCCACCAAAACACAGTACAAATCACATTGTGTCTCCCAAAAAGTGTTGGAACATGTAGAATATCAGAAACTGGGCCACACCAGTCATTTGGGTCTCCGGTTGCCCAATGACACATCAGCAACTACAGCACAAATACATAAGAGTTACTTCTGTGCTGCAAACCTCTCCTGGTGGGTCAGGTTCCCTGGTGGACTCTCCAGCCTGCTGATCATCTGGAGCAGCTTCAGAAAGGCTGACTGGGTTTCCCCATAGCCTGCTTATCTCTTGTTGCTGTAGGTAGCTCCATGTCTGCCCGCCTTTGGTTTTCTCCAAAATGCTAATGTGTAAGTCGGCCTTTTCGGGGACTTTCTTTATTTGCTAGAAGGGCAGAGCTCTGTTCTGTTACCTATCCTGGAACTGCTCCCTTAAAACAACTTGTTTCTGGAGTCTGTATTCATTCTTCCATGTCAGTGGAGGAAAGATGCTTCACTAGGGTTTAATCAAGCTCTTAAATACGGGGATAAAAGGGAAAATCTATGGTTTCTTTGTTTTGGTGTTTGTTTGTGGGTTGTTTTTGTTTATAGAGTGAAAATGCTACACTGAACATAATTCCAGCACGTTCTTGTTGAATGCACACAGGAGCCTGAAGGAGCTAGTCTCACCATCTACTTTGGCCTGCGCATATGGATGATGGGCGGTGTAGCACAAGGGCATTGCAAGAAAGAAACTTAGCTTTAAATAGGTGCAGCATGACCCATTTTCCTGTCTTGTGCTGCATGATGTTCTGCTGCTGGCTCCTGTTTGTGTGAGCTGATCCCCTTCAGTGCTTTTGGCTCTATTGACCCTTGGGTTCATCAGTGGCTGGAGCTAATGTCCAGCCTGTTTTATAACCATGTATCCCAAGGTCTGCCCTTCCTTACTCTTCCATGCCATTATGGGTGTGGAGGAGGTTGGCATCCTCTGTGTCTGATCCAGACGCACTGGAGTCGGAGGGCAGGGACTAGCTCTGTATTGTGCCTCTGTTTAGCTATGCAAGGCGCACAGCCTGGCATGGTAGCAAGCGCCAGTACCGAGTTTTGATCTATTATCTTGGCAGGGAGGGAGGGGAAAAAAAACCCTTAAATTTTACTCTTGGGTGAATCTTAATCTTTAAATTAGTAGGAATGTGAGTTTTCCCATGCTACAATTTTAAAATAACTGTAATCATTTTAAGAAAATAAAGCCTAGGAACATTATGATGTTGAATGTAGAGTAAACTGGTGTTTGAAATGCTGTGTTGTACATCTGTACATACCGAAAAAGGAGTTTAATTTCCTAATTTGTTTTGGATCTTACCCCCCTTTCCTCATGTTCATCCCTGTTTTATTTTCTTCCTTTTGTGTCTATAATTGCATGCATTATTAGAACTGGCAAGATGAGCACCTCCAGATGCATCCTACAGGAACCCAGCCAATTCTGACTCTATTCCCATGTCAGACTGCATGCCAAGTCAGTGAAGCTTGGTTGTCAAAATCTATTCTCTTTCTACACTGCTTCTAAACCTGTCTTCTCATAGAATATTTTGATACAGGGTGACTGATGATAACCTCAAGAATTGTCCCAAGCTTAAGAAGGTGTCTTTTAGTATATTGAACCATCCTTCTTAAAAGTAGTATTTTGAAATAGTATGATCTAGGAAGCTTTCCTTATTCTTCTATCAGATGAAACGAGGGGTTTGAAATCTGTCACATTGTACCTTTCACTCTTTTTGTGGTGATTTTGTTTTTGTTTTTAACTTTCTCTGAATTTTTATGCTCTTTGAATTAAAAAAAAAACCCATTCACTATTTTTACCAAATGTAATGCATCGGAACTAGATGATGTTTGAGGCCCCCTCCAACCCAAACCATTCTGTGTTATGATTTGTTGCAACAAGACAGCACCTCCTCTTCCTTTTGGGGAAGAATATACTAATTTTACTTACTATTTTACAGGTATCAGGCAACAGCATATCAACGTTGCTCCTTCTACAGGATCTTTTCCTAATTGGAGATCTCTGCTATCACCAACATGGCCTTCCACAGAAGCTAAGACTTCCTCAGTAGCTGATATTTCTATGGGACAGACTTTAGAGAATGCAAATTTGCTTCAGATGATAAAAACAACACTGACTGGCACACGTATCAGGACTTCAGATCAAACTCATTTGTCGCCCACCATTTATCAAGGCAGTGGAAACAGTGCATCCCAGGAACCCGCTGAAGTTTCAGCTGAGTCACCTCTGAGGTCATCATCTCAAGATGCAGATGAAACAGCTGCTGTATCAGGTTTGCCTCAACTTGGTATGTTTGCCACATTGTCCACTACACCATCAGTGACACATTCGAGTACAGCTGTCCCATTTCAGCTACTACCATTAGAAACACCCTCCATTTCAAAAGGAAGCACATCAGGATCAGACATGCTTTCTGCTGTTCCATCACCATCATTGTCTTCATTGGTAATTCAGTCACCTCATACCATTAACTTTTCTAAACCAGCTGTACTGCCCACCAAAGTGCCTCTGTCTGATGCAGATCCTGAAGGTTTCTTCAACACAGATTCAGCCAGCTCGCAGGTTAGTGAAAGCAGAAATAGTCCTCTAAACACGGTCACTGTAGTACATTCCAGTATGGTGAATCACAGAAAGGGTCACGAATTGTTAATAGGTTCCATGCCTTTCAATCTCTTTGGATCGACAACAGTGCATTTCACAGAAATAGTGGGAAAAGGGTCTCTTTCAGAAAGAACCTCTTTTTTGTCTGTATACTCTGATATTCCTGTGTCAAAAACATATCAGTCTTCCCTGCCAGTAACTTCCAGAAGCCTGTCACAGTTTCCTAATAAGAGTATGTACAAAGTATCTTCTACTGGAGTAAAACCAAATAGTCAGCGTTTTAAAGCAGCATTGACTGACAGAAACAGTGATATCACTCCTCTGTCATCACCAGTTTTTCAGGATAAAGCAGAGATTCCTACATCAGTCTTCCATCCTGTGGGTACTCCACATCTAATACCCCAAATGAGTCATCCTCAGTCTTCCACAGCACTGACTAATTGCACTACAGGCTCTACCAGTGCGGCGTTCATGTTATCAGCTTCCAAGAGCCTGGCTGAGGTCTCCAGCTCAACAGAGAACATGTCTTCCCTTTCATTGCCAAAATCACTTATTCCAGATGCAAAGCATGCTCGCAATGCAGTGCTGCCAGTACGAGCATTTAGAATTGAAACAGATTTTCTCTTTAGAAATGCAGCACACTCCTCTTCAACAAGTACAAGGTCCCCCTTGCTAACTGAGACAAACGACACCTTTACTAGGGTAGCACGCGCAAACCGTGCAAGTGCAGCAGCAGCCGATGAGAATACTTTGCAAATCCCTTTGACTCTTTCCTCGCATCACTCAATGGTGGCTCTGAATCAGACTTTTGCAGAAGACCTGAGTGATCGAGCTTATCAGGCAAATGGCAAGCGGCTGCCAGCTGCTTCTGCGCGTGCTTTCCCAAATTCTGGTGGCTTTTCTGTGGCAAGAACAGCTCAACAGCCTTTCACAAGAGGGATGACAGCAAAGATGTCCACAAACATTAACGCTAATAGCGTTCTGCCTTATAGATCTCAGCTTTCCAAAGTCTCTCCAAATACCCAAGCCAGTAAACTCCCCAAAGAATCAAAGATAGCGGGCACTGTTTTGGAAACAGGCATGATGAGTCCTGATCTAGCTGCAGTGCTGTTAATTACTTCCACTACAGGCCTTTCAAAACCTGAACCTGCTATCACAAATACATCTGCTACTAGTATCTTTGTAACTGCACTTCTTCCACTTGGAGATGCAGAAAGTCCAGATATAACTGCAAATAAAGACAGAAATATGAGAGTACCCACTGTTGTGACACCACATACCGAATATTCACCTCCAAGAGCTTTACATCATTTTGCCTTTGGTCAGACTTCACGTTCAGTTGATGGAAAGCATCTTGCCTCTGTCATGCCTCCAGCATGGGTTACGTGGCCATCACTGATTTCTAATGTGATGGACAGCCATGGCTCCAGCTTTTCTGGGTTTTCGAGTGTGGACTCTGAAAGCAATTTAGATCCTGTCAGCTCTCCTGAAGTCGCAACTTCAGCTTCTACGTGGACGAATACAGCATTGCTGTCTCCAGCTGGCATTAGTATTCCTTCGGTAAAAACTTCCATTCAAATGGCAGTAAGAGAAGTTCTTCCAAGTAATTCTCTGTTGGAAACCAAGTACCATGTACCATACTCAGTAGTTTCAAGTCTGCAAGAGAAAATGAATACAAATAAGCAGTCTCTCTTCTCCACTCCTTCAGCAAACTATACATATGCAAACTCTATTCAAAATGTTTCAAATTTACCCTTTGCTGGAACCAAGTCGAATAGTTTTCCAGAATTTGATGTAGATTCATTTGCACTGAAAACATCTCCTGCTCAGTATTCGTCCCTTGCTACCACTTTGACAGTGCCTGACCCCCTGCAAAAAAAGCATGGAAGCACAGCTGAAAACGTTGCTAATTTCTTCACTGTTGGAGACGTTAATATCAGTATACGCTACGAAACACCTCTCCATTTACATGTACCTCCTGCTAATGATGCAGGTGCTTCCCCTAGCACTCTAGAATCACAAACAACTGATGCTGGAAAGATTACTTTACTGACAAAAACCTTAGGCACAACACCAGCATTGGCTTTTCAGCTCACTGACAACTTGACTTTTTCTGCCAGCTATGACAACAGTGTCACCCACAGCACACTGCCAGCTGAGTCCCCCTTTCCCATAACCAAGCCTTCTAGATCAACCCTCTTGCATAGTTTTATTACAGAAGATGACATTGGTTCTGGAAATTTACCAGAATTTGCAAATGACCAGTTAGAGTCCTCTGGTTATTTGGTTACAGATGATAAAAATCCAGCTACATTTATTGTGGAGGAGTGGGACACAAGTGCTACAAGACATAATCTAATTTCCGGTAATATATCTCATAAAGCTACCAAGGGCATTCCATTGCAAACTCCTACCGCCAGCGCTCTGCAGTCAGTCATCATAACTTCTGTCCATGCATCACCAACACCACTAACTTCTCCTTTTTTGTCAACAACCAACTTTACCCATTCTGTCATTACAGTGTTATCTGGAGTATCTTCTGGTGCAATACCTACAGTAGGAACTTCAGAAGCAAAACCACTAACAAGAAAGGCATCTCCAGCTTCACCAGTGCCACCTTCTTCCCTCTTTTCTCTAGGCACTGAAAACACACCTTTGCCATCTGTGATGGCTTTAAGCCCACCAGTACTAACACTAACAAAAAATAACACTGCCACAAAATTGGCATTGGATCTAAGCTCAGTAGGAACACATACAGATTTTCCTTTTGCAACAAGAAACGCAGCTGCATTACCCGTGGACATGACAGCTATGCTTAGAACCCCTAAAAGCAGCACGGTCACATCTTCCACACTTGCACCCACAGCACATGTACCAAGGCAGACAGAAACAACAGTAACTGACAGCCAGAAGTTCCCAAGCTCAGAAATCACCAAAACATCAACCCCGTATCCACTGACAATGACAGCAGCTTTGACATCTATTACAGCATCAGCGAAAACAACTAGGCTTCCCCCTACTCCAGTGGAAAACACCTCTGCTCCTCCCGAAACCACGGCAGCAGCTGCCAGCAGTTCCTCCCCTGGATTGCCGGCTCTCCAGGAACCTTATGGTTAAAACAGGTACGTGGGGCCACTGAATTTACTGAAAGGACCTGAGCGGGAAAGACACTAAAGTGTCAAAGAGTGTGAGGGCATTAGTGATTAATCTGGGAACAAGGCTGCTGCACTGACAAACGGGACAGATAAAAGCAGGGTTGCTAGTATAGGGAGGACATTGGCTTTATTTGTAGCTTGGATTTTACAATGAGTGTGTCAAATGAAGTAGTGAGATCAGGTGCTCTGAAGATCAGCAGGTCACTGCAGGGATCTAGCAGACCCACCTCTGTGAAGGGACCACCCAGTATGACATGCTGTTTTGGTCTCTGCTTTGCAGTAAGGAGTCTGTGTCACTGAAGAAGACCGTGCAGTAACCTGGATCAGTCTTTGGCCCCGTTTGCATATGAGTACCTAATTCTATCATTACAGACTTATTATAAAATAACGTTTAGTATTTAGAATTGTACACCTCAAAATGGGGGGTTTTTGAACTTTCTACGTGAACAGTACCACTTTTGGCACTAGCTGTTTTTTTAGCCAGCTTTTCCTCAGCTGTAAGAACTCTGAACTAAAGGGGTCTGGAGAGGTCCCTTGCCCAGGCTTCACAGAAACTTTGTATGGTAGCACAGCGCAGCACCAGAAGCTGTGTGGATCTTGGAGATCTCAGCAAAGAAGAATAGCTACATAAAAGGGTTTATGACCTTGTATAGAACTGAATGATGCTGGGGACAATGAAATAAGCAGCTTTTGGACCTAATGTGTGTTTAGTAGCTGGTAAATATCTATACCAGTAGTATGATGAGTACAACAACTTTTTCTAAAGATAGAAGTAGCTTCTATACAGTATATGATTGAAAGTACTTAAGTGCAGCTATAAAAATCTGTCTGCAAATTATAAGAGAAAAATGAAAAGCTAGTGATAACGTTAATAAAGAAGGTGTACAGATACTTCCTAGATGGAATATAAATGTAGCAGTGGAGTAACACGTTTCTCTGTTTATTTAACTCTGGCTGTGAAGGTATGAAGCACACGTCCTTTATGTGGGCCTGCCTGTGCGGCACCAGCTCAGTCCCCTGGGAGTGCTGCACCAGTCTGTCTGCAGGCAATTGAGTGGATTCCTACCTCACTCGGAAGGGCAGCATGGCAAAGACTTGCTGTTGCTAAAGAAATTGCAGTTGTTAGACCTCAATCTGGAAACAAGGGGCTATTGCCATGGGATGAATAGGGAACCGGGAATGCTGCTGAATCCCTGCATTTCTTGCTCCTGTTGGAGCTGCTGCAAATCCTAGCTGCTTTGATGATCTCCACCCAGCTTGCACAACATGATACAATTAAAATAAGTAAACAGTAGTATGGTGAAATATCAAACCAGCATGTGGCTTTTGTTGTTCCACAGTCCTTTTTCTGAACACGAGGAGGATGCTGATCAGCAATCTCTTCAAGGAGAGTGTGAGAAAAGGACTCAACCAAGTGCTGAGACAAGCTTTCAACCAAAATGTCAGTGCTCAGGTAAGCATGCTTGGCTTGCCTGCATGATCTCACCAAGAGAATCCCAGCTGGCTGTAGCTCCAGTGGTGTCTCTGGGAGCGGAGCACCAAGATTTTTCTATGGAAAGCAGGCACAGGTGGCACCCACTCTGGTCTCTAAAAATACAAGGACCACTCCAAAGCTTTTGCCATTTTATTTGATGAAGTTGAAGGGGGAAATGCAACTTTATTCTTGGTATGTTTTGGGAAATGACAACTGACAGCAGTTTGCTCCTCCCCCTGAACTCAGAGATGACTTTGGTTCACGGTCAGCCAAGGGCTGCTGTGGTCAGCCTGGATCAATTGCAGGAGGAGGGCTGGTAAATGGGGTGTCACTGCTGTCAGCCCGCTCCCTGGTTTGAAAACTCAGTGCCTGACAAGTGCAATTCCACAGGGATGAAAATCTTGAGCAGGGAGAAAGCACGTTTATTGAAAATAAATGAGGGAGACGTGTTCATCACTTTGCAGGTAAACTGCAAATCTGCTGCGCTGCTGCGTGTAAGAGCTGGCTTAGGTGGATTGCTGGGCACTCTTCTCTGCAACACAAGTTCCTGCGCACTTAGGCAGGGGTTTGTGCTGAGTCCAAGGCTGTTATGAGTTATTCTCACCAAGCCACTGGGATGGAAAAAAGTAATTTTACTCAAAATAGAGGGCATCAAGTCCCCATGCTTTATTGCTGCAAGTTTAGGTGATGTTAGTCTGTTTGGGAGTTGTATATTCCTGAGGCTCAGTAGCAGCAATGAAAACTGTCAGACTTATTCTCCCACCTTCTTGTAAACCCGACAGTAGTTGTCTTTTTCTAACGGAGGAAACGAGCTAAAACTTAGTGTGGAGGACCAGTTCCAGGGCTTAAACTTTTTGGAAAATACAGAACATTGAGGTAAAACTCAGCTCATGCTTTGGCTCACAGTGTGTTCATTCTTGTGGTTTGTCATTTCTACTCATATAGGTGATACCTTAATCATCTGGGACAGTATAGGAAAAATAGTATAGAAAAGACAGCTGAGGTTGAAGAATCAAATATTGGAAACTTTTTTCTTTCAGAAACCTGTCTCCAAACCTGCAGTGACAGACACATGCACAAAGTCAGTGTACTTCAGGTGTGAAGTAGAAGCTGGATGTTCTCTGGATTCTCTGTAGTTTTACATTCATAAGTAAAATGTCCCAGCATATCTACATGAATGAAGCCCCAGTCTAAATTCGAGGAACATGAGCTGTGGTAGCAATGCTCCACTGCTTCAGAGCACGTTTTGCATGGACTGGGTCTAAAACTCCCTGAGTGCTTTTGCTAATACCGTGTCTGATCTGACGCTAACTGATCCTGTAGGGTTTATAGGGCATTACAGGATAAAAACCCTGCAAGGGAGCTATATTCAGGACAAGAAGTCCCATCAAATAGTGGCTAAACTGCAAGCAAAATAATAAAAAAATATTTCCCTGTGTGTTTTAGGTTGAAATCCTGGAGCAATCAAATAATGTAACAGTTGGTTACTACGTTACACGGGGCAGACTGGTTTTTATGCCAGCTGCTGTAATTGAAAGGCTTCTTGCGTACGGCGTTAGCAATGCCACAGCAGACATAAAGCAGCACGTACCACATCTGCAGTCCGTGGCAGCCCTGGCCTTGCCGTGGACGCCTCTTCCTGCGTACCACTTCCAGCTGAAAACAGGTGAGCGAGGTCCTGCCCGCCCGCAACCGGGATTGTGCATGTGTTAACGGTCTGTGTACGGGGACGATGCTGCTCCTCCTCCTCTTTGCTGTCCTGCCTCAGCCCCTGCTCTTGGGTGCAGCAGCAGGACAAGCTCTGCCTTGGTTTCACATGTTGATGTTCCTGGCACAAGCAGGGCAGCCGGCACGTGCATCTCTGTCCTGCGCGGTACTCTGCTGTCACCTCTGTTGTCACTGCTGGGGAGTGAAGTGGCCTTGCGTTAGGGAGGAGTCACGCCAATGTGTTTGACCAAGACTAGGCGTTTGATTAAATGGACTTTAGTTGACGGGTTGTGATATAACCTGTGTGTTTCTTTTGAGGTCAATCAGATGAGAAACATGACTGTATGGTGTGTATACATATGGTTCTGGCTGGACCCATGGGATTTGAGCTAGGTCCCAGCTGACTGACCCAGGGTCGCTGTGTAACCCCTCTGTACAGTAGCAAGCATCAGTGCAGAGCAGTTGTAATGCAGCAGAACAGTATAATCTATGAGCGGGCAGAGTGTACTGTAAAACAACATATTCATTTGTAAAAAGATTTCTTATGTGTGTCCTTACATGTTTATATACACACACTTACTGCAATTACCCAGTCAAGTATATTTTTCCCAGTACGAACAGAATGAGAATTAATATTATGATTGATTATGTCTTTCAAAAGCAAATGACTTCGAAGAATTAACAGTATAATTTGTGTTTTAGAATGATTTCACTTACTGCCTGGTTCTGGGTAAGTGTTTGTGCAGTGAACTGGTCTTACCACCTTTTATATCAATGCAGAAACAATCTCCATTTGTTTGTGGAGAGTATCAGCTCTAGCAATGCAATTTAATTCTTACATTTTGTCTAAATTAAGGCTAGTTTAGTGCAGTGCTTGAATGACATGTGTGATCTGATATATGATCTGATCTTATGTGGCATTGTTTTCACGTGCTTAATTTGTAAATTGGCAGTCTTGCTCTCAGACTTTACAGGAATTACGCAAGCAGGAATGTTTTGTCCACATACAAATACGTTGTTCCTTTTCCAGAGCTGCAGTTTGTGGGTCAAACAGACAATATCCAGTCATGCAAATTTGTTCAGACTATGGAGCAACGGTTACAGAGAGCGTTTCAGGATGCTGAAAGAAAGGTCTTAAACACCAGCAACAACTTAACAGTTCAGGTACAATGTTGTGTGCTTTGCCAGTGCCTGTTGCCAAGCTCTCTGGGTTATTTTTTCCTATGTGTATGCTTGTATTTCAACATAATGCCTTTGATAGCCACTATGGAAGTAAGTTTATGGTTTCATCTGAAATAAGATTGTTTTATTTATTGCAAGAGGACTTATAAATGCATGATTTATAGAAGACTGTTCCTGTTATTTTCATTAATTTGAATTTTACTGTTTGTATTTAGATCATTAAAGTGAAATTCAAATAAAGATAAATATACAAAAATATTGTTCCAAATGTATATTTTTACAAAGTTATTCTGACACATTAGTTGCTCTTAGTGAGGCTGTTCAGGTATAAAGGTAGTGTCATGAGTAGCTGTTTGTAATGTAATGGAATATATTTCTTTCTTTTGTTTGTGTGCATTTGAGTTCTACACTCGCAGACCCAAATTCACTGTTAAGGGCCTGATTTTTTGCAGAACTTTATATGTGTAGTGGGCCAACACCCTTATGCTCTGTGCCATATTTCAGGAATAAATAAATTACCCTCTGGGTGACATTATGAGATGTATTTGACGTGTGATAAAACTCTGTGTATGGACTTGCACTTGTCAGAATAGTTTGCATGTAGCTTACAAGAAGGAGAAAACTGGTCATCACTGCTCTGCTCAGTTACTTTCATACTGTCTCTTGAGAGCTCAGAGAGGAAGAAAACTGCGTGGCGAGAGATGATCTGCTGCAGTAGGTAAAGTGATTATCAAGGGTTTCAACAGCTGGACCTGTGGTGCTGAGGGGACCTTCAAGGTGGCTTATTTGCTCACAGAAGAAGTTGTAGATCTTACAAAGCACCGAGGAAATTTTGTAAAGATCCCTAGAAGAAGGTGGTAGTTGTGGTTTTTGTGGATATTGACGACTTGGAAAGTGATAGGATGGAAGTCTTGGAGGCAAGATATAAACTGGGTAGTAAGATGCTCAGGAGTGTGATCTTCATGATAAGTTTTTCTGAAATTATTCCAGTATCATGCAAAGAATGAAGCCAGTGCAACAGAAAACAGTATGAGGGTTTTAGATGAATTACAAACTGACGAGCAGTTCTGGAGCAGATGGAGCGGATTCAGCAAAGGCGTTGCTGCAGTACAAGAGCAGAGAGAATGGCAGCAACATGTGTAAAAGGCATGAAACAATTTCTGCGCAAGGAGCAATTAGATCCGTCATGGTTCTCTCACCATGAGTGGTGTAGTGAATCAGGACTGATCATTTAGAGTTTCCCATAACAGAACTACTCAGGTTTAAATAAAAAACAAAATTCTTTCACACAGTGGGTAATAAGATCTTGAAGATGTCTGGATGTAACTGCAGAAAAAGTATGGAAGTTACAAAAAGCAACTGGCCAGACATATAGAATAAAAAGTCATCAACACTTTTTAAACCCAGGCATATAATTTACGGCTAAGACCATAGCTGTGGGCTAACCTTACGCTGCAGAAGAGTCTCCTCTCTCCTCTCCTCTCCTCTCCTCTCCTCTCCTCTCCTCCTCCTAAAGCATTGCCCTTCACAGCATCTGCTTCAGCGCCGGGCAGTAACCTCACAGTTTACTCAAGACCTGGCTCTTCAGGTGACGTGCTGACTCCAAGGAAGTCAAAGAAGATTTTTTTCCATTTGCTTTAGCAGAGATGTATTTTCTTTATCCATTTGCTTAAGTGATGATAAAGTATTGCTCAGGCAGAGGCAGAGGATAAAAAAAAAATTATGTGTTTAATAAAAACCTTTTAATATTTCTGGGAAAACCAGAGGTGATGGTGCCACAAGAGAGTTAATCTGTCATCTTTGTATCACATGGTATGATTAAAACTGTGTGATCCTTTCTAAACAGCTTGGTTTGGGGCTCCTCTCCTCTCCTCTCCTCTCCGTGCTCATTCTCCAAACATCTGCTCTCAGCCATTTGTAAGTGGACGCTGGCTAGGCAGACTTTTGGTCTGACCTTAAACTCTTCTCTGCTGCTTTTATTATACCATGTTTTATGTTTTTACGTAGTGGTCCAAATCATAAAAATGGGGTATTTAAATAACATTCATGAATGATGAATGCTGTCGGCCCTACCTACAGTATCAGTTGCCAAAAAAACATCCCTCTAGTCCTATGGCATGAGTTTTCTGAGAAAACGTTTTCTCCCATTCCTGCCTCACCTTCGCCTCTCTGCTTCCTGCATAAAACTGGTGTTTGAGGATCTGATCCAGTACTCGCTAAATAGATTTGGTCTTTAAATGCAGTCATCAGATTTGGGCTCAGGAAGAGACTGGCATGGAGCTAAAGAGGGGAGGAGAGCCAGCAATCGTATGATGCTAGGAACAAGAGAGACATGACATCCCTTTAGTTCCTGTGGAAAAGGGGTTGGTGTTGATAACTGCACTCGGAAGGCAGCAAAGAGAGGAAGACATGCAGGCCACATCCCTCTCATCAAATACTGAACATTTTTTTCTCATATGCATTCTATCCCTCATCTTACATTTCTTGGTAAAAAACAGGGAAAAATGTTTTTGGTCCTGACTGCACCTTTCCTGCCTGCCGCTGTCCTCCAGTAACCCTGCATGTGCTAAAGTAGGAATTAAAGTATCACAAACTGTTTTACACAATCATGCTGAGTGAGCTGTGTCTAATCCATTGTTCAAGTTAACTTCTTCCCAGTTTGTTTGCACTGGTTTTGGGTTTTTTTGGTTGTGTACTTTTTTCTTCTTTTTTTCCAGCTGAGCTGAAACACAGCTACACATTATTTCTTTACCTCTGTTTCAGATTTTGAACACCTCCAACGTCTCCCAAGCTGTCACTCTGTTTTATGTAGTGAACAATCAAAGCACAACTCTAAATGGCACTATTTCCAGCAACCTTCTTAATCAGCTGTCAGCTGAGCTGGTGGGCTTCTATCTAACCTACCCGCCTCTCACCATTGCAGAATGTAAGTTATGCGCTTCCCAGCACACAGCTCCTTAAGATTAGCCAGCGTTGGGCTTTTGCTTTGCAAGCACCATAAGCTTTATCGTCAAGCTCACAGATTGTAGGTGTTCTTACTGATGACTTTTTAAATTTTTTTTTTTTTTTAAAGGAGGGGGGTTACGTGAGGGGGTGTTCTGGGTTCAGTGTTTACTGTGGCTGCTAGAAACACTGGTAGATAATTAAGAAAAACACATATATGCTGTCATTAATAAAAAAAATGATTGTGCCAGGTACCAAACAAAATTGATAAAATTGTAATTTTATATAAAGCAAATACAGTGTCCCCAGTTCTCCATTTCAGGAAAACTTTGTAGAGCACTTGAAGTTCATCTTCAGCATAGCCCTTTACTTCAGTGGAAGACTAAGCCCCCAGTGCTTGCTCCAGTGGCAGGGCTGGGTAGCACACTTGGAGTGTGTATTTGGAGAGTGGGCAAGCTCTGTCTATGCTCTGTGTATTTGCTGAACTTCATCCTCAGTTTAAAATGGGGTCTAAGCACTTTATAGTGTCAATAACTTGCTTGCATTTCAGTTGTTAGGAAGAGTCAGAGGTACAGAGAGGAAGAGAAAGTGGTGTGTCTGGGCAGCCTGTGAGTCATATATGCTCTCTGACTCTGCATGCTAATTTCTCTAGTGAATAAAGGGACAAGACATTTGATTATGGAGATTTCTGTTTAATCTGCTTGTTAAACTTGGTGTGTGAAATTAAGCTCACTGTAGAGCCAGGTTATCCGTTCACTGGAAGTGAGGGGAGACAGGGACACGCTGAGTACATCAGTGCGTGGTAATGGGCTCTGGTTAAGGCAGGGCAGGTGTCAGCTGTTCTCACTGTGTGTAAATCTTCATGAGGTGCTTGTTAAATTTGAAATATCATGTTCAAATGCAAGTAAAGATCTGGTTAAGCTTCTGGTGACTATCAAACTGACTGATAAGGCTCAACCAGTGATGGAGTAGTTTGTAATTCTTTAAGTAGTGAAATAATCGGGCACATAAGGGTAGAGCCAAATATGTCTTTATGATCAGAACACTGAACTGAGTGGATTTGTGGTTTTAGGTAAAATTCTTAAGGTGCTTGTTCATTTTCTGACCTAAGAAAAAGCAGATCCAGGCTGCTGGAAAGTGACCACTGGGGAAAACACAAGCTAACTTTTTTGTCAGCCTGTTTTATTTGCAAACAGCCCAACAGCAGAGTAACTATCATGTACAATTCTTTATCAGTTACTTGCACAATGAGCTGTCTGTGGGGCAAGCGGTTGCTCTCTGGTATGAGGCAGTTAAGAATCACAGCTAACACTGGTGATTCTGCAAATCCTTGAAAAAGGAGGAGTGTATATTATTCTTGAGGCATTACCTGTCTGAATCAGATACTTCCAGACATATAGGTGAATGATGAGTCCTTGCACTGCATTGGTGCACTCTTAAATCAGACTTCCCAACCCAGGGTAAGAGACACATCTCAGGGCAGGCTTGCGTTTTCATCAAGCCTTTCCACAGGCAAGAGGAGGTGGAGAGAGGCTGTTAACAAAGGGTGTGTCTGGGGACCTCGAAAGGGGTGTTGACCATTCATGAGGAGACAGGCCTCTTCCTTTACGTGGCTGGTGGGTGAGCTTGTCCGAGGAGTGCCCTGTGTGCAGGACTTGTCTTCATGGGACATCCAGGAGCACAAGGAGAAAGCTCGAGGGAGTTCTGATGATGGCTGCTCTCAGTTAAAGTGTTTGGCCTCCAGAATAGTCCTGTTGCATAGGAAAAGCATTGCGGTACTTCTCACAAGGGCAGTACAGGTGTGTGCTTCATAGTCAGGAGCTGTAAAAGCCATTTGTTACACAGTAAGAGTCTCGTGTGGTACTGCAGTTCACTGCTGATCCCTGTACATGAGCAACTGACCCGATAAAGTCTTTAGCTAGTGCTCCTTTAACAACTAATGCCTTATATTTCATTTTGGAGTTCTTGGTTTTATTCCCAGTGCAGCAGGTATATTGCAAACTCATGAACTTAATGTGCATGTAGTGTTTATGGCTTCAGACTGATAGAAGGTCTTGTGAAAATGTTTACTTTGAAAAGTGTTTGATGCTTATTCATGTGGCAGTGTAGTTGTTTCAGTTTGTCAAACAAATATTGCGGCTGTTGTCAGAGCGTGGTATTTCCCAGTAGAGTCCAGCAGCTCCTCCAGAGCCTTTGCAGTCTGTCTTGGAAATGCACAGCCCAGGACACGCCATGAAATCCCTCCTCAAAAGCGGTTACTGTGCGTAGCCACATCCTTTACAATGTTTACTATTTCAAATCAATTTGGAGTTTAAAAATCAAGGTAACTTAATAGCAGTGTATCAACATGCGAAGCATGGATATTTTCTCAATTAAGTTCCAAGTATTAATGCTTTCCACGCTGCATAAATCTATTGAAAAAATGCTGAGCTGTATAATGAATTAGCAGCATATTGAACTTTACAGGAGATTGAAAAGCTAGAAAAATGCATCAAAACAGCAGACATCAAATTCTCACAGGTGTAAACACATATGGGAGTAATACCTTAAATGGAGCAGAGTGAGAGAGTGAGAATATGGCACTCTAAGGTGTGTTCACAGTTTCGTTAATCCCATTTGTAATTCACGTGGAACTGCACTCTGTGCAATCTGATCCGTGTTAATATTACATTATGTTAAAATTGTGGTCTGGGTTATGTCGGGATTAAATCACAGAATCACCAGAGAATCTCAGTTTGTTTTCCTCAGGGGATTACTCACAGAGAGAAAGCAGCGGAAATGCACGTAACAGACACGTGCATATTACCTACCATTTTTAGTAGTGGGCAGTGCTGGGCTTTGCCCCAGACAGTGTGCCAGCCAGTATTTCGGGAACAGGAGATGTATGCTCTACTTTGTACGGCAGCGCTTGTACTGCTTGCACTTGATGTCATTTTCCAGACAGAAGAGAAATTGTAACCCTGGAAATTATGCCTCTAGATCTCCTCCTGGGCCATAGTTCAATTTTATTTATCACTGTCTGGTTAACCAAACAGTTTTGGGACATATGATGTGTAGCATGTTGGAATATTATGACATGATTTCAACTTTTATTTTAAAGCTTTGGAGTATCCAAACCTTGATGTCTCAGAGTCAACTAGAGACTACTGGGTGATAACAGGTACTTTTTAATCTCCTCCTGTCCTCCATGCACTTCAGACAATAATTTTTAGTGCCTGGTGATATAAATACATTGGTGCAGTAATTTTACACAAAAATAAGTGTCTGCCCACTGAATCTTCCTGTTGCTTTCAATTGGGAAAATGTATTGAAAGTTACTCTGGGGCATAACTGTGATTCGTCATCTTGAACAGAGACGTCTCCTGTGTCCAACACCTGCCTCGGAATTTATGCCACTTTGGTTTAAGCACTTCTGAGAACAGCATTATCTTCTCAGAGTTTTGAAACACAAATAGGCTTCCCCCCTGACCCCCCTGGGACTTGGATTTAAATCTGAAATCAAGAGAGGCTTGTAGACATAACCCAGGAAGAAAGGTGATCTGTTAAACCAAGCAAGTTTGTAATGATTTGCTGGCTGCCTGGGTCCAGGAATTTCTGCATTTTTCACCTGAAGCATTAAGCGCATAACTTTCTGTTGGTGGAAAAGAAGGTGCAGAGAATGCTATTAAGCTTCAAAATACTTGTTTTATCACAGTTATTTCACTGGCTTCACATTCTCATTCACAATTGCTTTGACTTTAGAAGTGATAACTGGGCAAGAAAGACACCCTTTCCCCCAGACATCTTTGAATGAGTAGATACCAAAGCCTTTCTAATTGCTGTGTCTGTACCTGGAATTGCCTAGTGCTCAGGAGAGGAAGAAAAAAGGAGCCTGACATGAAACCGATTAAATTCTACACTCTGCTTCCAAAGCCGGTGTGATTTGGTACCTGTTATATCTATTCATAATTTTGATTTTAAAAAATAAGTTTATGCAGAGATTATGATCCTCTGAAGGCAATAGTACAGCTCCTCCTCATTTGGACCCCGTGAACCTGTTACTCCATTTCTTGCCTTTGTGCACTTACTGCACTATTGATACTACAGTGGAAACACTGTTTTCAAAAAAATGATGGTGGTCCCAAAAGATTTTTGAAGTAATATTGCAAAATCATACATATGTATGAATTAAATTAGCATGCCATATCTCTTCTTTGAACTTTTTGTAAATTCAGTGTCTTTTTAATTTTACATTCATTTATATTTAGAAACGTTTATTCAGTTTTCAGTGCTCTCAAACATACGATATTTTGTTTCAAACTGAGTTGTAAAAAATCCTAACTTAAGATTTCAAAACTACTGGATGAAAAACTGTGGTTTAGTTAACAGGAGCATCTGGCCATAAGCATCAAACCAGGCAGATCTCAAATAGGTTTTAACTTACTTTTTGCATTGAAGATCATAGATTAGGTGCTTCCTGGAGCCATTTTGGTAAACTGAAGGCCAAAGGAAGTTTTTGAAGGATTTTGTTCTCTGAAACATCATTGACATTATCTAAGAAGAACAGTGCGGGGGCTGAAAAAGAAGGACCTTATATCCCCAGGGGGAATTACTGAGGGGGTGTAACAGTGTCCAGCTATTTTTCTGCTAAGGTAGTTAGTATATCCCTGTCCTGCAGGGACCAAATGTTACTTTATCTGTCCATGTAAGATGTACTGATTTGTGATTTTTCTCCATTCCCACAGTTATTCAAGGGGTTGATATTGCATTACTGGGACTGAACAATCAGAGCTTTGCAAGATTAATGGAGCAGCGTTTGGCCCCGCTGTTTATGATGTCCCATCAGCAAGGAAGACGATTCAAACGTGCCACTACTGTGGGCAGCTACACTGTACAGGTGGTCAATGAGACATTGGATGAGCTAGATACGTGTTGAAGAAAGGGCTTTATTTGCATGTGTCCTGCCTCAATTTGTATGGAAAAAAAAAGTTTAACTGGGTTGATATTTCCTGTCTTATTCCATGGTTATCAAAGCAGCGAGTGCAAAATGCATGGCATTACTAATGGCTTTTTTTCTTCTGCAGTCAGCTAGGTTTACAAGACTCTCATCTTCTAGAAATTGTATTAGTTAATCAGTATTAATAAATATTTTCTCTTTGTTGCTATGAGGATTGGTACAAAGTATGTATTTTAGTGTAAAGTCTCGTATTCAGCATAATGAAGAGTTTCAGGGTTTCGTTCATAAAAAAAGTTTCCTAGGTCTTCCTTTCCTAGGTAACGCAATAAAGCTAGAACATCTTTTTTCTTTTTGTTGAAGAATAAAAAAAGTACGAAGCAGTCTTTATACAGGGTTAGTCAGCAAACCATGTGGCCACAGGTCACATTGCAAAGTAAGAGATTTCAGTGCCGAGTAATTTATTAATCATCTTTCTCTTATTTATCAACATTTCTCATTCAGTATTTTGAAATGATCTTGTTTTGTTTTCTCACTGATTTAGCCAACTGATGCTAGTTGTGGGGGATTAAAGAGGATCTGTCTTCAAAAATTGCATGACAAGTTATTGCTTGTTTTTTCTTACGTGATGTTTTTAAAGAATTGCCTGTTGTGAGAGATGAAACCAAATTACTACTTTGCTCATTTACCCACAATTCTGTGTGTTTTCCCGCTGAAAGAATTTAAAAGAAGGAACATGTTTTTGCTTGCCAAAAGTGTGAACCTTTGTAAAATTTTCCATGAAAACATAACATATTTTAGTCAATAACATAATGGAGAAGAATCACAAAACTCCTGTTTCCTCTCATCATTAGAGGTGTTTGACACTTCCTCTACTCTCAGGAAAGACAGAGGTACAATGTAAAAATTCTGCTGGTGTTCTGCAGAATGAAATGGAGGAAGCATGGTTCTTTATTATCAGCCTCGGATCAAAAATAATGAGTGTAGAAGTAAAATGTGAGGGAATTTTTCAACTGCAATATGCCAGTAAAGTATAATTTTCAATATTAGGACAGATTTTAAGAAATCTCTCATTATTAGAGGACTGTAATGTCCAAACATTTGATCCTTTCATCCTTTTTACTGCATGCTTTTCTTAGTATAGGGTTTTACCTTAGGATTATGTTTAAAAATTTTTAAGGCAGTCAGTCCTCACTAATCTTAATAGCCTAGGCTGTGAAGGGGAGAAGCTCTGATCCTGTGAGAATATTTGCATGTAACTTATGCTTATATGGGGTCTTGAAGGAGTTCCCTGTGCTCACAGCCTTCAGGTAGCTTCTGGCAGATTTTGCAGTGGTGTAATACAAACACAGTGTATTTCTCTCTCTCTCATATTCTTTTTTTTTTTTTAAGGTAAAAATCCAACGTATTCCAGGACCCAAGGAGCCAGCTGAACTGACATACTACACTTTGTACAACGGGAAACCTTTGCTGGGCACTGCAGCTGCCAAAATTTTGAGTACCGTTGACTCCCAGCGGATGGCTTTGACACTAGGTTACGTTATTCAAGTTCAAGCTGATCGTAAGAGTTCTCTTAAAAATTCTCTGATTTAGTCCTTTTTTGCCTTCTTTTTTTTTTTTTTTTTTTTCTTTCTCTGTGAAAACACCAGTGTAGCATGGGGAGTCTCCGTTAATCACACAGAAAAATTTCAGATGCACCTTTTTAAGCAGCTGCTGAAGTTAGGCTGTTGTTTTTCATATGAAAGAAAGTAATCGTTTATCATAGTAAATCAAATACTGACTGTTATTTAGCCAGTCACCATAAACTCTACTGTACAACTATTTTTATACACATACAGTTCTATGAACTCAACTTTATGGAACTGTAAAGTCAGAATGAATTCTGATGCTAACGAAACCATGACACGACAGGCTAATGACTGCTGGGGCTAAACTGCTGTTCAAGTAACTTGACTCAAAGTAAAACAAAATTGTATGTGGGGGCTATCAAGATGTCCCTTATTTTTGACTACAAAGTTCTTGGTGAAAATTGTTTTCTATCCCAAATGATATATATTTTTAAATAGTTATTTTCACCTAGAACTTTGTAAAGTGCACCACGTGGTTGTTAAAGATATTGCTTAGACACAAATCAGAAAAGTGAAGCTGGACAGAACTACTTGTACGTATGGGCAATTTTCAGAATCAAGATATGGTAGCGTCATTCAGAATAACGTGGCGAAAAAAGTAATCCATTCTTGAAAAATACAAGAGAAATTCAAAAGCACTTTAAGACTTGCATCAGTTGCTGAGTGATTGTGAGCATAGGTGTTTTCTTTAAAAGAAGGTTTTCTTTTGGATATTCCTGTATAATTGACGCACAGCCATAAAGCTGTGGTTTTTTGGGCAATAACAGCTTAATGTGTGAATCAATGCCTTTAGCTGACTGAATCTCTCCGATTAGCCAAGGTATTTATCCAGATGGAATCAAAATTATATAGTGGACTTCTGTACTGGACCTCCTTACTGGATAAACGGCATATAAAATGGGACTCCCTGGTGCCATCATTTCTGCCTAAAGCAGCAGTGATATTGAAATGATTACATGTAATGGTGATAGGAAAAGAAGGAACCACTGTAACAAGTAATTGACATATTATCCATAAACATATGATGGAGTCAGAAGAATAAAGTATGATATAATTTCCAGAGAATGCACTATATGCTGCACCTGATCTTTGATTTGATCATGGTCTGTTACTGACTTTAATTGGACTAAAACCAGGGATTAAAACCAGGGATCTCCATTCTTGCTTCCATAAAGTCTAGTATTTAAAGTCTGAATGACTTTGTTTTCCATGAGAATATTTCTTTAATGTAATTTTTACTAAAGCAGCTATAGATAATACATAGCAGTTTCTTAGCTCTTCGTGCAGTTTTGTGGTTTATATGGGTATTTAGGTAATTATATGATATCTGATGCTCAGGATCTAACTTTGTACTTCCATGGTCTGATAAAGCAGCCTCATTCATCTGTAGATTTTCATACAAGTCAAATATGCACAGCATACTGTAAGAAGAGAATATACAGAAATTGAAATTATGACCCCAGGTAACTGAGATTCTCAAGCTAGACTGCTTGAAATGTAGGAGATGGTTCTATCTTTATACCTTATTACAGAAAAAAATTGATTTCTTTCATTTTGGACATGGTATTTGTAGTCTGTCTTTATACTCCCAAAGAAATACTTTGTGTGCACTTCATTTTTACTCATTATGATTTCTGTTATAGCAGAATGAAAAGTTCTGTACCGAAATGCAGTAAGAAAAGACATCTACCCTCAGGAGCTCACAGTCTGGTTAGACAAGACAGATGAATAATAAAAAAAAATATGGATGTTCCTGTTCTGTAAGTGAGGGACTGAGTTACAGCAAAATGAAAGGCTTGCTTCAAAATCCGACAAAGTCTTATGAGTTGAATGAACCATGGCTTGACTTACTCAAGGTCACATTGGAAGCTGGTAACTGAATTAAAGATGTAAACCAGTATTACTAAATATCTGTCCCATTAGCCATAAGGTCATTGTTTCCTCTGCTTTCCCTAAAAAGAATAATTATGTTTTTTCAACAATTGTTTGCTGCTCCCACAACAGCAATCTATCATTATAATTACTGCTGTCTGATAAAATTCAGATTCACTTTCCTTCCCCACAGCCCTTTCATTCCCAGACTACATAGTCAAAGGCAATAATTTAGAATTATGCAACTCCATTGAAAAGTGAACCTTGAAAGGTTGCTTAATCCTAGGTTTCAGCCTGGCTTTTTGGAGTCTTTAAGCATGCGGTTACTGTTACACTGTGTGCAAGATATGTACTTAATGGTGTTATTCCTATGCCACCCAGCAAACTACATTGGATTGCAAGAAGTTGCGGATCTACAAAGACAATAGCCTCAAGTTTCAGACAGACTTTCAGCTGGTTTTCATAACCACTGCTGAACAAGATGGCATGCATTTGAAGTCTGATCCTGAAAGATGCTGAGTGCCTCTGACAGCTAATAAGCTCAATGACATTTGGAAGCGCCGGTCCCCTAGGAAATGGCAAAGGCTGCTTTACGCTGATATTCTCACAATTGGCTGTCCACGCCAGCAACCAGTGGCACAGGAAAATAAACAGAGAAAGCATAGTGAAGTCCACAAAATATTTCACTACAGCAAAAGTCAGCCTCATAAGGAGATTATCTGGTGCTTTTCCAGAAAGAAATGAAATGAGAGAACCGGGGATGTGTCACAGGAGGATCTCTTATGTGTGTACAAGTTGAAGGTTCATAGTAAGAGACTTTATTCTGATAAAACAGAACCTAAAATGTTTTGGGATCACTGCAGTTCTGAAATGTACCCTTTTCCTGGTGCTGTTATTAATATATCTGCAAGTAGCTCTTTCCAACCTCATCTTTTCCCCTCCTTCAGAAACGATGGATTCATTTTGACCTTAAATATGATAAAGTATTTCTAGAGCACAAGACAACCATTTTCTTATTGCTCTGTTGATATAAGTAATAACTATTAGTGTGCTTAGCTTCATTGTTTTTGAAAAAACTCTCCCAGTTTACTCTTGCTGAGCCAGTAAGTCTTTGACACCAGGTATGGACTCTGTGTGTATAGTTTTAACACACATGCTACCTTCTTATAAACTGGTTTTGTGTCTGAAGAATAATTAAGGATGTATTACTTTCACTTTTTTTTTGTTTGTTCTGTAAATGAACCATTGGAGTGATTTCTAACATGGCATCTAATTTGACTTGGAAATCAATTGCTGCTTTTGCAGCTGGCTATAACTAAGTAAGAGAAGACAGCCCAGGGATTTGTGAATTGAACAATGCTGCTGATTCATTTTTTTTTTGCTTAAGGAATACAGCGGTATCGCTAGATTACCAACATTCCATTTATACTAGTTGTTATATGGAGACAGTTGAAGACTGTATTGGAAGCAATTTAAACCTTACACTTGCACAGTAAAAATTACCAATGTTGGTTTGCAATTTGCTATAGCTGTGGTGAAGAACCCCCCGAACAACCTATGGATCATTGCAGCTGTGCTGGCTCCCATTGCTGTGGTTACGGTTATCATCATCATCATCACAGCGGTTCTGTGTAGAAAGAACAAGAATGACTTCAAACCGGATGCCATGATGAACCTGCCTCAGAGAGCTAAGGTGAGTGACCAGTCTCCAAATCCAAGACGTCTATTTGCTTTCTGAGGTTTTAACTGTATTTCTGTGCTAGATGTAGTTGAACAAAGTTTGGAATTGAAATGGTGGTTACTGCCAGGTTGGATCTTTGCAATTCTCTGTCCTGGATATTGCTGGTCACAGCAGTTACCCTTCTGTTTTACTCAGGACTCATCAACTTCCTGCGCAGCTTGTCCCTTCCCACATAGGTAGCAGTGACAGAATAACTATTACACAATGATGTAAAGCACCGAGCCGTTAGGGCTGAGTAGGCTTTACTCAGGGCAGTCGCTTCCCACGTGAAGTTGAGGAAGTGGGATATCATGCCTAGGCCTCAGCAGCAGCAGCACATCTCCTGTGGGACCTCATCCTCAAACCCACGGCCTGAGCTGCTCCTACCTGCTGCCAGTGGCCATGGATGAAGATTTGGACTTCGGCAGCAGTTCAGACCTGATCTTATCCAGAAGTTCTCCATGCAACTGCTAATCCAGAAAAGACATTAGTTTTTTTTTTCAGAAATTCTCCCGCTGCTATTTTTCTTTGAGATGTTTTGAACTTTCTAATTTGTTTGTGGATATTTTTGATTGGGTTCAAACAACAATATTTTCCTTAAATTTACTAACCCATATCAGTGACAAGATTATTTTTTTTTCCCCAAATCAAATGTCTTTCCAGTTTGATTTTATGCCACTAAGAGAAATGTCACAGAATACTGATTTGTCTCTGTAGTGAAAAGTCTGCCTTCTCAATGCTGCTTTAAATGACTGTTAAACAGGGTGTCCTAAAGTTTGGAGGTTTCAGCGTACGAAGCATGGGTGTAAGTCATGCTGTTCTTTCACCCTTTTAGCTGGCCTTGTTCTTCTACATTGGCATGGAATTGAAATGGTAATTTTTTCTTTGGTTTCTTTATGCTACAGACAGCAGGATTATTGTGATTTCAGCTCTGTTGCTTCTGCTGAAAAATGTAGATTGGAGGGAGAGTTAAGGAAAACGTGATGCATATGACAGCTCTTTTCTCCTCATCTTAGGTTAGCTGAAGATGGGTGCAGCTGGTTCCAGTTGGGAAAAGACATTTGTATCAAAAATGATGCAAAAAAGACATTTCCATTCTGGTTCCAGTATGCTTATCTGTTTACCTGGTGTTACCAAACTAGTGTTAAGACTAGATCTGCAAAAGTGCAATAAGCAATATCACAAATGCAAACAAAAATTAGTGCCACTTCAGTGATATCATATAAAGTCCCGTTGAAACCTCTAAAATGCAAATCATGCTTTATTAGAAAAAATTGCAAATACTATGCACCACTTGATTCTTCTTATATGCAATTGTAGTCTCAGCTAAAGGACAAAGTTGGACTAAATTTGTACATTGTTTTGAGCTGCCCATCGTTATGGGATGCTTTACAGCTCAAGAAAGTTGCTATTTAAAAAAACCCCACCTGCTGGTAGCACAGAAAGTATTGAAAGTATTTTAATATTCCATAGCTGTCATTCCAAAAAGAAACAGAAAGTAGAACTTTTACTTCTCCTGAGAAATCAGATTTAATCAGGCCCTAAGATACACGTTCAGGTTAAAACCTGTTCAGTCAGATTATGTTTGTATCAGCAGTCAATGTGGTCAGACAAGAGTTGGGTCAGCAGAGTAAAACAATTGGTGCTGATCTCCCAGCATCGGCGCTACATTCGTTTCAGGAGATTTTCCTGCAGACGTGCTCACGTTTGCAGCAAGAGTACAGTAGGTCCACTTCTAGAGTGCATTGCCCCTTTTTGGTATATTTTGAGACTCCATAAAATTTAATTTAATACATTATATGACAAGTAATGCGTTTCAGAATGAAAACTAAATTGATTTCTGCTTAGTTTCACAACAATGGCCCCATCAAAAAGGTTCAGCCAGTCTAGTTTAGCATATACGCCAGTATATGGACTGTGGAAGATAAATTCTGCAGCAGGATTGGGAGTAGACTGGTTTTGTCATTCCTGATTTCAGTATCTTTACTTAAAAGAAGACTAAGAAATATCTTTTGGGAAAATAGTAAAATAAGGTAATTTGGAAAAGAACAGCTTTATTTTTATTTTTAATTCCGGCATTAGGGGTATCAGGAATAGTGGTAATTACTTGAACTGTAATTGCTCCATTTCATGCAGTTTAGCAATACAAATAGCAGGTGAGGACATATCTATATCACATTTAAAATGAATCTGTTATTTTTCATGGCTTAGAAAAGTGCCCGAGACTGCTTGATTAATGCGGAATCTGTTCTGTAAGTGGAGTCAGAGCAAAGCGCTTTTTAGTTTAAGAAGCTGCTTTAATATTTTATTTCTGTGAGTCTCAGATTTGCTGTTGAATCACTGGAGCAATTTTTTGATGCCTTTTGAATATCCAGCAAGCAGTATAGAGAGGAAAAGAGAATATTATGGTATGCCCACAACCTCAGATTTCAGCTGGTTTTGTTTTCAGTGGTGCTACTTCATGTGTTTGGATTTCAAAAGTCCCGTACGAAGGGGACTGGCAGAGCAGAGCTGGCTGTTCATCGCCGCAGCCCCGCTGCTGCCGGGAGCGGTGGGAGGCTGTGGGCCATCGCCGAGCAGAGCTGCCGGCCGCGTCCCTCCAGAGTCCCCGTCCCGTGCCAGCGGCGCGGGATGCAGGAGCAGAGCGCGGAGGGGTAACGAGACATTTAGCGTTACATATCCATCCTTCTGCAGGGAGGGGAGGTGATGTAATAGCACAACCGGGTTGCTGCCCGGGCCTGGTAATGAAGGAACGACTTTTTTTGTTGTGGCAGACTGAAGGCTAAATAAACGAAGTTTAAAAAATGACCTCTCATACATAGTGTAGTTTATATTAACTTTCTTAGGAATTGTGTCACTGTTTTGAATGGCCTTAGCAGTCAGGGACTTCTGGACTAAGTGGCAGGGAGAAGGGACTGTTAACTGTTACCATTTTTTCAACTGACTCTCCAGTTGTAGAATTAAAAGAAGTATAAATTCATATCAGTGAAATCTGTTTGGAATTTATTTTAATGTTTTTTCAATGCTGCTTTTATTTTGAAATACTGTTTTTTGCTTTGAGGTTTTATAGATGTTATTTTTTTTTACCTCCCTTGCTTTCTAATTCACAGTAAGCTTTTTTTAAGGGCTGTAATCTGATTTGTCACCTTTCCTTTCTTTTAGAGCATGAAAGAATAAGCTTGCAGGTAAACAGAGATAAGATCTGCAGTCTGAGACCCGCAAGCAAAAGCAAATACTGCAGGCCATGAGAAAACAACCACTATCAGTTTGATAAAGGACATGGAAAAAAAAAGATTAGAGAAACTGTCTGTGTACATGGGTATATATGTAGAGGGGAGGGGCTGATCAGCCTTTTTTTTTTAATTTCTTTCTTTTTTTTTGAATACTAGTGTCTTTTTCATGATCACTACAAGGGAAAAAAGTCCCAGAAACAACTCCCTGTATTCGATCTACCCTTTACCAGGCAATGGAATGTAATGGTCTCATTATTCATTCATTATTTCAAAAGCAATATTTAAATCCCAGTCCTTTGTCTTTCTCAGTATTGTGGCTGTATTAGATATCTGTGCTTGCAGTGATTCAGCAGTGCCTGTTCGTGATTTAGGCTTGCCAGTTCCCTTCAGGGGTGGTAAAGCCATCTGCTCCTGTGGGGTTTTACAGAGCAGGGTTCCAAGATCAAATTTTATTTAACGCAATATGTCCGCTGATGGGGATGGCTTTTTCAGCTCTTGCTTCAATGCAGTTTGTTACTAGACATGGTGGTAAGTAGAACTCAGATTAAAATAATCCTTCATTTTCTTCCTTTGGCAGATCCAAGCTGGTACTCTGTAGAGTTCTTTAGTAATTCTCATGTTCTGATTCTTCTGGTTTGTTTTTCTTCTGATCTTGTTGCCATTATTTATTTATTTATTTTAAAAATAAGAGATGAAATATAAGTTGTAATAACTTCTACTCTTTCAAAGGCATGGAGGGAAAAATAAATGATTTCATCAGCTGTTCTCTTTTGTTACATTTGTTTCAGAATATTTTGGAGGGTCTTGACTAGCAGTTAACATAGATAATAAGGTTGAAAAACATTATTTTGATTAAAAATATTATTGTCTAGGATGGTGTACAGTAGTTCTTCCTAGCTGTCTTTCACACACCTTCCACTTCCCCTTTCTTCGTTTCCTTCCTTCATAGCTAATTTGGTGGCTGCTTTTGTGGTACCCTGTCTTCAGAGGAGGGCAAGCAGAAGGCTCCATCAGGGGCAATATCATCATGACTTGCCATGGGCTGGCGATGGTGAACTGGTATTTTTCTGATATGTTGCAAGTTCCATCTTGGTAATGTGCGGAGATGTCTGCTTTCCCAAACCAGCATTAGTCCAGTTGCATCTCCTTAATGCAGTGGAGCTGCTTACCAGAGGAACGCTGAAGTACCTGAGCACATTAGAAATCATCAGCCTCGGTTCAAACAGGAGCTGTGGAATGCAATGTAGATCCCCATAAACAAAAAGCATGTTTTGTGTTGTTTTAAAAATTAGAAGACAGACCCATTTTTTTCAGACTGAGATAGCCTATGAAATTTATCTGCATTTATAGCTATAGCCCAGATTTAGTAAGGGAGAAAACAAGAGAAAATGTTTTTTCAGAGCTCATCCTTTTTCTGTGCCATCAGCGAATTTTTTTTATCCATCTGGTTTTCTTCTGGAACCAAAATATTCAATGACAACATGACAGCAGCCTGAGAGAGACTATTCAGGTATTAACTGTCTAATTCTGATGTGTTTCCAAAAGTATGTTTGAGGGTTAAAATCACCATCGCTCACCTTTGAAATGTTTTATGGTGAGCATTTAGCATTCTGTCAATACTCTTTGTATTTCAGGAGGAGCATCCTTCCAGTTTTTCTTAAAGTAATTGAATTTAGTGTAGCAAGAAGTTTTTTTTACATATTTTTTTCCAGAGGTGGTAAGGAATTTCCTGGAGTGATTTATTTTATTTTATTTTCCCTCTTTTTTTTCCAATAGAAAATGCAGGTCGGTTTTTCTTTTTTTTTATTCTCCTTCTCTTTTTTTTTCCCCCAATAGAAAATGCGGTTTGGAAATTTAAGTTTTGCTTAAATGCTTTAATTTTTCCATTAAAACAATCCACCTTTTGGTGGCTGCCTTACCAGAAGGCATGTGTCACTTCTGCTTGTTCCTTGCAGAGGCAGCAGGGAAAGCCTGGCCGGGCTTGGGGGCAGGAGAGGCTGGGCACGCCACCCTTGGCTGCCTTGCTGCATGGCTCTTGCGAATGCCAATTCCCGAGAGAAACAAGTGAAGTCAACAACAACCTTCCCAGTAGGCAACTGGCAAGCCAGGGGAAATATAATTTTACTGATCTGAAAAAGATTCTTTTTTGGAAAATGTTGCCCATGAAACTTTGATGTGTGCCTTTTTTACTTTGTCTTGGTTTGGAACAAATCACTCCCACCCTCTTTGGAAACATAAGATCTTTTTAATAAAGTTTTCCATTTTCTGCATGGGCTTATTTTTCTCCTCCTAATTTTTTCTTCCATGTATTCATTCTTCCATTGCCTGTTAAGGAATTTCTGGGGGTGTTACAGCAGGGTAAGAAAGGTTAGCCAAGATCAATTTTATACTAATTAATCATCTAGAAAGTGTGCGGAATGGAGATCTTATCAGAAAATTGATTTGTTGTTGGGCATTCATATGGCAATCGACATATTTCTACCTGTTGCTTACCTAATTAAAGATGTGTTAAAGGGTAGTGGAAAATATTATACTGAAGTGGAAATTTTATATTAACGTATGATGCATGCTGGAAATTTCTTTTTTCTCTCACTTTTTTTGCAGCCAGTACAAGGCTTTGACTATGCCAAGCAACACTTAGGTCAGCAGGGAGCTGAAGATGAGGTTTTACCTGTAACTCAGGAGACTGTCGTACTTCCACTTCCAGTTAGAGATGGTCCTGCCTCCCAGGAAAGAGAAATTACTCAGGATGGGAGCACCATCAAAACTGCCAAATCCAATGAAACAAGGAAAAGGTATGGACTGGCATGTTTCTGCAGAGGGCTGGAATGGGGTAAAAACTGCTGGTTGCTTCAGAAAAAACTGTAAGGTTTGGCACCCGGATCTGTGTGTGGCAGATGGTTCCTCCACTATATATTCTTGGCATAATGCTGGTCTGCACTGGATGTGTGAGATTGCTGCAAAATACAAGATAAAATAAAGCCTTCACAGATTGTACATGCATAGAGGAGGTAAATGGGAAGTGGCTCTCGCATGCGTGCTGGAGTTGTAGAAGAGATGAACCTAAATGAAGCATGGGATCTGGAGCATGATCACTGATCATTTCTCAAATGAACCAAAAGACAGGACCTCAGCAACTGTAAGTTGCTGTAGCTCCACTGACAGACTGTCACTCCAGAAGTGGACCCAATGTCTTCATTAGCAGAAGGGGGAAACCCTAAACATCCACTAAGTTATGAAAGACCTCTAGATCCAAACGATCTACAGCAGAACCAAACTTTTGAGAGTGCTAGAATAGACGAGATGGGTAAAGTGCCCCAGGTTTGCAGTTTTTTCACAGTGAATCTACAGGGTTGTAGGATCACAGATTAGAAGGACCCCAGGAAGCTATCTGGCTCTTCCTCGTCTCCACTGCGGGGTCAAATATACCCCCCACTCAACTTTGCCTACCTTTTTTTTTTTAAAGTCTTACAGTGGTGGGATGATCGCAGCCTCCTCAAGCAAGCTGTTCTTCACCGCCTTTCCTGTTAGGAATTTTTACCTCATATCTGCCCTCAGAATAGCTGAAGGTCATTATTATTTGACTCGGTCATCTCAGGCAAGGAGAGCAGATTATCCCTTTATCCTAGCTGTTTTGCATGCTTCAAGTCCATTTTTCCTTAACCCACTCTCCTTGAAATTAATGTAGAGTGGAGAATCATCAGCTTTTTATTGCTCAAGAATGATACTGAAGGGAACAGAGGAAAATAAAACTGTTAGGTAAACAGCCTGAATAGAAGTAACAGTTGTTATCTAGTTCACTGGAATTACACAGTGCTTCCTTCTTGAAGGGACTTGATAACATAAAAGAAGAATATCTGGCTAGTGCAGAGAAATTCTGTAGAAAATCACATCTTCATAGCTGAGTCACCTCATCTTGTACTTGTCAACGCACAGTGATATTTGCCCGTTTAGAGTAATGGAAAATCTCGGAAAACTCTGCACAATATTGCTGTGTGCGGTGACAGGGACACACTGGAGCCATTTGCAGCCACGGGACATGCCGCGCTGGAAGGCATCAGCCCGCTCGGTGCAGGGCTGGAGGACCCAATGCTGCTGCACTTCATGGGGGTTAGACCATCCTATTGGTCATAAGCCGAGGTTTTCTCTACACAAAAATGGAAACAGAAGGATCCTGAGCTGGTGTCTGCTTTGGCATACTTCTCTGGTTGTGTAGTACATCAGCTGGAATATGGAGAGAGCTGTCTGCAGGGAGTACCAATAGAGAAGAGTAAGCCAGCTGAGAACTCCCCTGGTTCTTGTGATTACTTCACTGGGTTTAGGTGTAAACTGTTATTCTGCCCTTTCATGTCAGTGGTGTGTTGTTCACACCACAAACCACTTAAACCGTGAGGGTCAGGTTATATAGTCCATGTGAACCAAACAGTACTTGTCCCTTTTGAAGTCTTCTGTCCTCTGATGAAATGACAAATGGAAGATGACCATGACATCAGGGTCACTGGTGCTGGGCCACCACAGGTTAAGTCTTTGCAGGAACCATTCTTTAAAATGTTTTGAAGGCTCTCCAAAGCCATGTGTAAATACAGACAAAGAATGAAAACCAGCCCTATTAATTAATCCTCTAACACAGGTGATTAAGCACTTCACTCAGTCCTTTGAATGAGCGCAGAAATCCTCCTGTACTTAAGTAATCTGCACAACTTTGAACAAATGATGATAAGCAATCTTCATCCAGGAATTCACGGAAAAGTTATTCTCATAAAACATGTCAAACGTTGGTGCCTTTCTAAGCAAATAACTAAGCGTTAGTTTGGCGTCCTTCAGGGTGATTACTTCAGTAAGTGAGAACGTGTAGAATTTTAGACTTATTTCATTCCCAGGAGCTGTGTCTGGGGATGGAGTTTAATGGCTTCTGAAGATGAAGAAATATTTCTTGATCTTTATGTATTTGCTCTTTCATCCAGGCTACTTTGCAGCCTGGAAAGGTCAATTTAAATGAGACTGCCATGAAGTGGCTGGTAACTGATCAGAATACCTTCTCTGATATTACCCCTGAAGGAAACTTCACAGTTAATAATACGGCAGCCACTTAAAAAAGATGAATATTTAGATTAGTGGCAGCAGACATCATTGTGCAAGCTATCCATGCTTGTTTCTTTTCCTTGTTCCCAAGTGGAGCAGATTTGCTTCAGTTGTTGGTCTGTTTCTGGATGGGTTTTCTTACTGGGCTGAGATTATTCATTAGCAGTGACAGACAGGTTTATAGGGGAGAACTGCTATTTTTCAAGAATATTTATTCCCGATGGAGTTTCACAAGAAAATCCCCAGGCTGGGCTGGGCTGGGTTGCATGCTGAGTTCTCCTACAGCCCTGTAGCTGGAAAAAGCCTGTCTCAAACTATCTATATTTCCATGTAGGCTATCTTCAAAAGAGAGTCCCTAAGAAATACTTTTCTCATACTTGTCCCTTCCTGTTCTGACCACGGTAAACACTCTCTACTTACACCAGACAGGGCAGTCAGAACTAGGGGTAAATAAATGTTTCAAGCTGGCTATATAGTATTGGCAATAATTTACAGGATGGTTTTTACAGTTTTACTTCAGTACCAGTTTCTGCATCTAAAGCCATTGTGACAACCGTAGAACTTGATCTGATTTTTTTTTTCCTCTGTAAATGGAAGTCCTTGTGATGAAGTCCTTTTTTTTTTTCCTCCGATGAAACCTCTTTACATTATCCTGTCATTCACCATGAGAATTCAGTGATAGATTGCAGATAGGTGCAGGAGTAACTATACAGGTTCTGTGGATTGTTTTCATTCCCACTGTGGCAAGTTTCATGTGTAGAAAGAATGTGATACTGTGTTTGGATGTGGAGTAGCACCAAATTTAACGTTTTCTACTTTGGCCTACTTTTCTCAGCTTATGCATTAGGATTTGAGTAATTCGTCCACCCAAAAAGAGGAGCTTGCTCTCAGAGCAGCCCAGAGTTACGCTGCTTGTTTCTGTTCTTGTTCCTCGTTGGGACTGAACACTCGTGGCGTCTCTGCTCTGCCCTCCCTCCTCACCCTGTGCAGGGACTAGTTTCAGGGCAAGGATATGCAGTGGCTAAGTAAAACAAGCATTTTCTTAGGAGTTTCAGCAAATAATGGTGGAAAAAAGGAGAATTTTCTTATCATGTTCCTTGTGCATACATGTGAAGTGAAGGAGTGCATTCTGTGTTGTGCCTGAGAAAATAGCTGAGTGTAAATGCAGGCTAAAATAAAGGAATTATTTTAGCCATAAATATAAAAACAAAGGTCTGCTTTATTTTATCTGTATAAATGACACTGAATTGATAACAGGGGTTTTTGTCCTCTGCAGTGCCACTTCTGTCATTGTGGGGGTTGTGCACGAGAAGTGTTTGCTTTCGATGCCTATCAACCCTGAGCTAATTGAGAAGCCATGTTCTCCTACCGTCACTCTGTTCCTGCCTTTACTGTGTTTCTGTGTGCAGTTTATAGTCTATCTATCTCCTTTGGGTGCAAAATCAGACTTGAAAACTCAGTGATGCAAACTGTACAAATGAAATAACCTTGAAACGAGGTTTATAAGGAAGAACTCACAGCCTCCCTTGTTGCTATGGTTACTTGCAGCCGGTCCCCGAGTCAGAACGGCTCCATCATCAGCAACGGGTCGGGAAAGCCCAGCTCCGGCCGCAGCTCCCTCCAGAAAGTAACGGCACCACAAAAGGTGACAAAAGATGACGGAAGGAAAAGAAACGGTGAGAAGTGTTTCCTGACGAAAGCTGCTCACAGCTGCTGCCAGAGTGGTACCCACGCAGGCTCTGGCTACGTTGAAACCATCTTCCTATACCTTCAGCAGTACTTAGGCATTTTTTGTTCATAGCTGTTTGTTTTTTTTCCCTTTTATTGCTACAACAATTTCTCAACCTCACACCAAACAGTCTGGTGTTTACTCTTTGTGTGGGCCTTTGCAAGTTTTCTTTTGTACTTTTTTTCTTTTTTTCTTTAAATAGCAGTAAACTAATGAAGACATGAAGCTGGGTAGTAGGTGGACAGGGTTTAAAGCTCTTTTTTTCTGTGTAGAGCCCTAAGATATTTATTTCCGTTATTGCTGTTGCTGAGCTGGCCCAGATCTGATGAAGATGAATTAATTAGATAAAAATCAATTTGACAATGTGTGAAACGTCCAGAGCTTTAACTTTCCATCTCTTGCCATCCTCATCATACCTTTTTTGTTGTTAATACTTACTGACAGCTTTTCTTGATGCATGTAGGGTGTCAGCTTTTCCTGATGCACCTAGGATGTTACTCTGGAGGTATTTCAGAAGCTCTTGGTTGATGGTGGTGACCTTGTGACTTGAAATGTATCAGGAACATTTGATGAGAGTAGAATGCAGTCCCCTTTCTTCCTTGCTTTTGTTTTGTCTGTCTCTCTGCCTGTTTCTCCTGAATTATATCTTTCCTTCCATAGCGATATTTTCCATATGAATAGAAAACTCTGCGGTAGAACCAACTGATCATTTCCCTCTAAAGGCGAAGAATTAAACGGGATGTGGTGTCATAAGATTCTGTCATGAACACAAGTCTGTAATTCTTCTTTGTTAAAAATCTAAGTGTGGAAAGGAGGACATGGATAAAGAGAAAGTCTTAGTGTAGATCTCTTCTTGTTTCTCCAATAAATCACCGGAGTAACCTCTGTGGAGGCGATCCTGGTATTAAATCTTATCATCCCTTGATGATCATTATGCCTAGTACTAAAGTGTCAGGCAAAGGCTTTGCTGCTTTAGCAGGAATACAGTGCAATGTAGAGACAGATATATAGCACCAGAGATGGCCTTTGCTCTGTACAGCAAAATCATACTGCATTTTTTAACTGTCCTCTGTTCTTTCCATACACGTCCCATAGAGCATTGCATCTTGTGGGGGCCACAGAAGTGACGTAACTGTAGTACTCTGTTTTTAAATCAGCTTCACTGAGATTTACGCACATTTGCACATTCACATAGAGTAGTGAAGTTGTGAATTTTCTTTTGTTATGTGTTTGTCACCTGTACTGCTTCCTTCTGGCAGACCTGTCATTTCACTGATTACTCCAGACCTGTAATAATAAGCATTCTGACTGGTCTTTCTCAATGAGGTCTTTTCTTTTTATTCATAGACAGCATAACAATATTTCACGGTTCTAAGTTTCAAGGGTGGTAATTACATTTCACTGTTCCAAATGTACCTCATTTTACAAGACAATAACATTTATGGTTTCTAGTGTTAAAATCTTTTTTTCTGAAGTTTTGTACTTCCCTACCCAGGAAAGCCAATATTCAAAACTGGTGTCAGGTGATGTTTCCATGTGTAGGCAAAATAACTTAGTGAAGGGAATTTTTTTTTTGTTTTATCAGGTTTTAAATCTTCAAAGAAAATTGGTAAGAATTTCCATTTTCTTTGTTAAAGTATTGTCTAACACCTAACACCCTCTATTTTGATTTGGACTGTAGTGCGTTTCTAGAATGTACACATGCTACTTCAAGAAACCTTCCAGTGTAGTATAAGGGAATACTGACGCTTTATTTTAAATCTTGATTTCATTATAATTCTAGCTTCAACTTTATTTGATAACAATAACTAGGTGCTTCTCAAATTGTGTGGAATACTAATAACTGCTTTATTTATGTGTTTATTTTACCTTTTCTCTCCTGTCTTCCAAAAAAAAAGCCTCAATAGTGTTGTTATTTAATATGGTCAAGGTTCTCCTTGTTAGGAGCCGCAAAGGAGCTAAACGATTTCTAGGAAAACATCTTTAGAGTATAATCCTTTCATAGTATGGTTACTTGTCCTTTGTTCCTACCACATGCTGGCAGCAAGATCTTGAGCTTCTGTGGCAGAAAGGAAAAGCTGGCTTTACCTGTTTAAAAAGTAATAGTATAGCATATGTACAATATATGAGATAGATGGGCTGTTTCCATCTGACTATTCTGGCTTTGAAGGAACCTGTGCATGAAACACCTTTTCTGCAGAGCCCTCCTTGTGGCAAAGACTTCAGCTACTTTTGGAGGAACTTCCTTCATTTGACTGCCATGGCCCTACAAAGGGTTGCCTGGTAGTTTCTAGGCACAGATATGAAGGGGAATAAATACGTTCTTCCCTAGTAAAGAGATGGGGACTTTTTAGCTGTAGGCATATCTTCTAAGATATGTTTAAGAGAGTTTCCTGACACAACCCTTTCAGAATAGCTTCTGAGAAGGAAGATGTGACCATGGGAAATATAATGGCCTCCCCCTTACCAGAATTATGGAGCTGGCCCCACATTTATTTTTATATGCATGTGCAGATGTGTTTTTGACTTTTGTGTTGTGTGATCTCAAATGCCTATTGCAGCTGAAATTAAAAAACAAAAATCAAGGCACTCGTTACTTTTCATCGTGGAGCTTATGCTTTGTTCCTCAGTGCTATGATTACAAGCACTGTTGTCATCTCAGATATTTTGTTCTTTTTGCAGGGTTTTTATCTTTATCCAGTATGATTAGCATCAATAGAATCTGTTGGCTGTTTTTCTTTCTAGTTTAAGAAAGAGGCTGCTTTTCTCCTAGTTGTTTGTCTGAACCTGCTCCAGCTCTCTAGCCTGGTTGGAGGCCGATGCCTCTAATGCGCATGTCAGCAATAGCAGCAGCATATTTTCTTCTCTGAAAAGCAGCATCTTAAAACTGGAATGAATCCCTTGATGGTCACATGTTTGATTTGGGAACTCCAAGTTAGAATGGCTCATTAGTTGCCATAGTTACAGACCAATTTTAGATTCTATTTCTTGCTGACATTTAGTTACATGGAAAAATGACAGGACTGGATGTTACCTCAATACATAAACTCTATATGGCTTGTATCAAAATTGACTCCAAATGGAGTGCATCAAGGCTGTGAGTGAACAATATGAAACCACCATAGACTGACAGGCTTGGCTAAAGGACCTGATGCTTTGGAGAATCAGGAGAACTCTTTATCTGAATGTTATTTCTATCAGAAAATACAAATAAAATATTTGTATTAAAATAGTGATAAATTTTGGTAAGATAATAGCATTTTTTTTATTTTGTTTTTCTTGGAAAACATTTATTAGTATTCTAATAGGAAGTTTCCTTTCGAAAGGTGATGAGTTGGGCTTTCATTTACTTTGGATGCTTAGAAAAAAAAAAGAAAATAATTAAACTCTTTTTCTAAAAGTGCCCAATTTCATGTATTAGAGGACTGTGAGATGAATGAATCAGCCAACAGAGGTACTGGCAATTTCCGAGACGGGTTTATAAGAGAGTGTGGAAGAGATCAACAGGATATTAGCACTTTCACCTATCATTTTATCAGGCCTGACATCCTTCAGGGAGAAGCAAATGGCTGAACCCACACATACTTAAAGGACTGTAGTAGCCTACAGTAAAAGTTTTCTTTCACCAGCTCCTCACAAAATGAAGCCAGTGAAAGTTGTATAGGTCATTTGTCCAGACTTTGAGTGCTTGATCTTGCAACCTTCCCGTTAGCGTCTTCGTAAGGGTGTGATTGCTTGTTTGTTTCAAGAAAAATGAAAGCTTTAGTTCGCTAGCAGTTCTTAATGAAGCATATGAGTCCATACCTTTTGGGCTGAGAACTCCTATAGTTGAGCCCAGTTTTGTACTTGAACCCCATAATCATGAAAGGACACACATCACAGGTGAATATTTGCAAAGAGTCAAACTTGTATAAGAAATTTTCCTTTCCTCCTCCAAGGAATCCCAGCTGGAACACTACCTCTCATCTTCCAAGCATTTGGACATTGTCTTTAAAAATAGATGTAACTTTCCAGAAGCAGTTCAGTCAGGGCCCTCACTCCTTTTTTAAGTATCAGGCTCTAAGACTATCGTTTTCTCTGTCCAAGCAGAAGCTGTCATATAAATTTTTAATTCTTTTTCCCTTCTGTTCTTTGAAGGGATATCTGAAAATCAGGTGTCTGCAGGAACAAAGTACCGGGGAGGAAAACTTGGCTGTATTATTGGCTTAGCTAAAATCAAAGCGATTTTTGGATGTAACTCAGCCAGGCTATGATACACTGCTTCCTTTGTTCTATGGAAGTGTGGGCCACCAGTTTTCACACTGTCTGATGTGGCAGCTCAGCATCTGAGCCAGCTTTTCTTAATTTCTGAGCAGTTCTCTGCAGTGACTCAAATGAAAATGAAATATGGCAACAGCAATGGAATCCAGTAGCAGCGATGCAGCAGTCTGCTTTGACAGAGGTTTAGCTGGAGGATCTGGCGTATCCTAGCAAACACCCAGCACTCTTCATTTGCCTTTTCTGTGCTGGGTGAGGTGAAATTAATTTAGGGTGTAAAGGGCTTCATCTTGCCAAATTTTGGTCCTCTAAAGTTGGCTACCTAACCTAACCAGGTAGGCTCTCTAGTGAGTCCAGAGAGTCACAGCTAACTGGAACAGATCTCTCTGCTCTGGAGGTACTTGCCTTTCTCTTCCCAGTAAGGAGCTCAGCCAATTGCATTGGAGTGTATGTGCAGAGAAGGGAGATGATCATCCCCTTTCATGATGCCTGTGTCTCTGAAAGGCTGAGAAATCAGATTGCTAGGAAGAATTTATGTTGTAGAGAGAGGAGTCTATTCTTTTCATCATTCATTCCTTCATCCTGAAGCATCAGCTTCGTTTGCCCCAGAAAGAGTGTTAGTGGAGGATCTTTATCTAACTGTTCACTCCCTCACAGTAAACTCCTAGGATTTCCTGGAGTAATTTCCTG